GGTGAACTGAATATGGCATGAAATATTTACCGCATTTTACTTGTATAACAGGTCATTGTCGAAGCGTAGTTTACGCACGGTTACCGTGTTCTACGCATTCACAACATGTTCACAGTGGTCGATATCCACGCTGTATCATATAAAAACGATTACCAAGATTCGTTACGCAAGACCAAGTTTTAAATTAGTTGCATTTTGAAGGGGTGGGCACTTTGCCGAATGTGACCCCAAATATTAAAATTGTGCAAAAGTGGGGGGTGGGCGCTTGCCCGGGCATAGGCGCTAACGCGGTCGAGTACGGTAAATGTTTAACTGAAATGAATAAGTCATGTTCAGGGAGGGAATCTTTTTTATACGAATTATTTTATCTTCATTCTTACACGTTATCTTCGCCTCTTCAAAATGTTGTACTTTAGTGTCAGGAGCTAATCGGCTGTCTATTTTTCTTTTTAATGGCACATTAGTCGTCTACCTTTTTTAAATACTGTGTGAAATAATATAATTCAGCTGTCAGCCTTGGGAATGCTTGCAAAGTGGAAATGCAACTCTTTGTTTAGCTGATTTCACTTTTCAGCACAATTAAAACCAGTAAAAAATTAATGCATTTATTATATCTTGTTTTTATGTGAAATTGTGTTACCTTGTTAATAGTGAACTATTTTTTTGATTTCTCTATATCTGCTTAGTCTTTACTGGATGAACCTAATCCTAACAGCCCAGCGAATAGCCAAGCAGCTCAGCTTTACCAAGAAAACAGAAGGGAATATGAAAAAAGAGTATCCGCTATAGTTGAACAAAGCTGGATGGATGCCAACTTATGATACCAGCTCTTGTCAACAAAGAGTAATTTTTGGACAGCAAGATAACAGAATTTACTGACTGCTCACCTGTGGGTCTGCTAGAGATTGTGGAAATACCTTTACTTACTTCTCCTCATGCTGGTTTTATTGGTGACAGTCTGGGGAAAAAAATGTCAAGACCTTGTTTTGTTCACCTTAACACAGACTGGAAGCGTAATATTGTTGGTGCCTTTGTTTGAAATAACTTCCACTGTGGAAAAAGTGACTCAATCTATATGTGGTGTGTACACAAAGCCATACAAGTGTAATTTAACAGTTGCTTTTTAGTTTCAGAATAAAAGCGAAGATAAATATATTATTTCTAACTCATGGGTCTTCTCCATGTCATTTCTGATATTAACACCACATGACCAGGTTAGTTTTACATGTCAGTATAAATACCAGTGGAACTGCCACAACTTGCTTACCAACTTCATTTATTTTTGATTTAAATATTAAATGTACAGATATGCAAAATATCCACTACAGCTGTTTATTGTAAAGTGGTTTATTTTGTACTGGTATTCACTTAGCATTTACCTTCCCTGGCTTGTTTTTCCCTGCATGGACATACAGCTTTGACAGAGCTAAGAGGAAAAATGGATTGATAAACTGTATATGGTCGATTGGGTGTTTTTCCTCATGACAGTTGGAGTGCACCTTTGTAATAAACCCGCCCAGATTTCATTAGCTTCCTCTTTACTTTCATCAAAGCAACCTATAACAGCATTGTAAGTTACCAGAATTGATGTGTGTATTATTGTGCACCTATAGAAAACTGAAATGACCTTAGTTGATGTTGAATTAATTTTACACTCCATCTGTATTACGGTATGTCTGGCTTCGTGAGCTGCATTTGGGACAACCTGAACAAATATTTGAGAGACCACAAGGTTGTATCTTGGTTCACACGTTCTATATCTATTCTTATACTAACAGCATAGATAGATAAAAATGTATTTCTCTGTAAGCTCAAACTGAAAAAAGACTACTGTCTTAGGTACTGTGTTTATATTGTTCTGTGTGTGTGTATCCATTTGATATCACAATGGGAGGTTTGCCTCAATATTGTATTTACTCTATTAGAACTGCACATAAACTAAACATTGCATTTATTGTATGCTAGATCATTTTGACCATAGACATACTTCTGACATTTACGTGAGTGTGTGCTACTAATTGAACAAATACGATACATGGATTCGAACCTGTCGTCAAATGCTGTTCATGCCCCTTAAACAATTAGTGGTCAGGCTTTGGACTGTCTCAGTGTTGGCCATTCAGCATGTCAATGGGTTTTTCAATAGCATGATTAACTTAATACTTGTGCATAATTTTAAAATGGTCATTGCTCAAAAAAATAATTTTGAATTTTACAGCCATGCTTGAAGTCTGAATTGGTCACTAGTGAACTATGCTAGAAACTACGGCGTTTCAGTCAACTGTAGCGACATTTCCCCATGCAAATTCAGTATTCTGTTGTACTGCTCACTGCCCATACATACAGCATAGAAAGGGAAAAAAGAGTTAAAGTTACATGTACATGTTAATTTATTCAATGGAAAAAGTGCTATTTATGGAGTATTGTTCATAATGGCTTGCTGTGAGACTGGCAATCACCTGTGTTTGCTGAATTGTTTTTTTTTTTTTCATCCTGTATATAAATTTCATTCTGCTCTGATAACCTTTTAGTCTTGTATCATGTAGGGAAAAATTACAATAAAATAACATTTCTTCAGAATGTTTGTGGCTCAGTTGTGCATTGTTGTACTATATGGTTATTATGAGGATACCTCAAAGAATGCACAGAGACAGAACTGCGGGAGTATCAACCAACTGCATACTGTCTGAGTGCATATTTTGCAGTATCATCATAAAAACCTTGTTATACATCTGTTCCTCCCAAGGATACATCATGGGAATGTCTAAATCCCAAAAGTGTCTATGCCTTTTTCGTGAATGAAATGTGCAAGTGAAGTACCCTGGGGAGGAGGGCTGCCATGTTTGCTTTTACCGGTATTAGATGATCGCATGCATAATCATTCCATATTTGGAATTTGCACTTGCACTTGTATGACCTTGCAATTCAATATATTTATATGAAATCAGCCAAGAACTTGCATAAATTTTTTTCAGGTTGCAAGTAAAAATGAGCAATTGGGTGAACCTTGGTCTTGAACATTAGTTCCCCCTGCATGCCTGCTCCATTCGATGTCTCTGTACCATTTGCCACACACCGTTCAAAAAACGCCTGGAATCTGAGACGTACCATTTTTCACACACTATTTAACAAATGCCTAGAATCGGAGGTGTACTATTTTCTATACACCATAAGACTAATGCCAAGAATCGATCCAGTGTACCATTTGGCCACACCATATTCAACAAATGCCTAGGATCCGAGGCATACTAAGACAGAACCCCATACCCTATTTGTGGCTTTCGTTGCATATGGAAGTTATTCTCATGAGTGATGCGGTGTATCCTGCAGTCGTACTTTCACAAGGGAAGCGTACCACTGATGCCTAGAATGTGAGGCCTACTATTTTCTACACACCATACCACTAATGCCTAGAATGTGAGGCATACTATTTTCTACACACCATACCACTGATGCCTAGAATGTGAGGCATACTATTTTCTACACACCATACCACTGATGCCTAGAATGTGAGGCATACTATTTTCTACACACCATACCACTGATGTCTCGAATG